TTTTATAGAGAGAGGCAAAGAGAGGGATAGAGAGATAGAAACATCGATGAGAGAGAAACATCATCGATCGGCTGCCTCCTACACACCCTCTACTGGGGATGTAGCCTACAACCTGGGCATGTGCCCTGACTGAGAATTGAACTGGTGACCTCTTGTTTCCTGGGTCAACACTTAACCACTGAGCCACACTGGCCAGGCTGCTTTCAATATTTTATTAACACCCTTCCTCCTAGGAATTCTAGGAGAAGGCTTACTCTTCTCTAACCCAAGGGGAAAACCACAGGCCATTTGAGTCAGTCCAGCATTCTTCCCTCCCTGGATTGGTGCAGGAAAAACCCAATAGCCTCCTTCTCAAGTCCCCTTCTATCCCAGCCACATTGCTTTGCTTTGAATCCCAGAGTTGATTTGGAAAGAGAAGCACAAATGGAGGAATTGAGGGACAAGGTTATTGTAGTAGTCGCATAACCCATATCTGCTTGGTATGGAGCTCTCTTCCACCTTGCGTGTTGGTAACCTCCTGGCCCTGACATTTGCCTCAATGCCTCCTCCCCCCAACTCACTCCCACAAAGAACAGTCAGTTATAGTTTTTCATGCACCACTTCCTTGAAGTGAGGAATGCTGGACTGAATCAAACAGCCTGAGTCTTACCCTTGGGCCAGAGTCAAGAATAAGCTTTCTCCTAGACAGGGGATCTTCATGGTCAGCCAATCCATTCATTTTCTTACCACTATTTCTTCTGGCATTTGGTGAGTAGATCGTTAGTTTATTCGTTCACTCGTTAATTCATTCGTTCATTCGTTCATTCGTTTGTTCAGCAAATAGTTCTGTGCACTTGTTACATACCAGGCACTGCAAAGAAACTAGAGATATAACAATGGCAAAACATATGAAAACCTCCTCCTTCATGGAGCTGACATTCTAGTGAGGGAAACAGATACTAATTAATAAACACAATAAATAGACAAAATATATTGAATGTTAGAAGATGGCAGTTGATAAAAAGGAAATACTAGAGCATGGCCGATGTTTTGCGATTTTAAATTGAACAGTGAGCACAGACTTCATTGAGAAGGAGATGTTTGAGTCCAGGCCTGATGGGGCGATGGAATGAGCTGTGTGAATATTTGCGAGAAGCATGAGCTAGGGCAGCGGTTCTCAACCTGTGGGTCGTGACCCCTTTGGGGGTCGAACGGCCCTTTCACAGGGGTCGCCTAAGACCATCGGAAAACACATATATAATTACATATTGTTTTGTGATAAATCACTATGCTTTAATTATGTTCAATTTGTAACAACGAAATTGGGGGTCACCACAACATGAGGAACTGTATTAAAGGGTCGCGGCATTAGGAAGGTTGAGAACCACTGCTCTAGGTAGAGCAAACAGTCAATGAAAAGGCTCTGAGGCAGAAGCACACCTAGTTTGCCAGAGTGGCATGAACAAGGAGAGTACGTAGTAGGAGGTGATGTGAAGGAAGTGAAAGGCACAGAGGTGGGAGTGAGGGCACTAGACCAGGTAGCTATTCTAAAGACCCTGTTCGTACTGGGAGTGAGAAGGGGACCACTGGAGGGTGGTGAGCAAAGGTGCGATGCGATCTTACATGTTAACAGAATAGTTCTGGCCCCTGGGTGAAAACAGACCGTAGCATAGGTGAGGCAGGGCAATCAGATAGGAGACTACCGTAAAGAGGATGATGGCTTGGGCCAGAGTGGTCACACCTTAATACTTATTCCAAAGATGGAGCCAGTAGGGTTTCCTGAAAGAATTGGTGTAGGATGTGAGAAGAAGAAAGGAGTCCAGGATAGCCCCAAGGCCTTTGGCCTGAGCAACCAGAAGGCTGGACTTGCCATTAGTTGAGGAAGGGAGGACCATGGATGGACAGGTTCTCTTTTGGACACATTAAGTTTGAGAAGTCTATTAAATGTCAAGCAGAGGTGTCATATAACTGGGCTATGTGCATCTGCAATTCGGTGGAGAGGTTCGTGCTGGAGATAAATTTGAAGACACGTGGGGTCAGCAGCACATCGATGGGGTTTGAATGACAGCACAAAGGACGGAGTGTGCTTAGAGGAGAGGTTTGGAATCTGAGCTCTGTGACACATCAACACTCATAGGTTGGGGGGAAGAATGGGGACCAGCAAAGGACATGGAGAGGAAGTGGCTTGTGATTTAGGAAGATCAACATGTGTGGTGCCCCAGAAGCCGGTGAAGAAATTTGTTCCCAGGAGGAGGGGGGTGGACAACTAGGTCAAATGCTGCCAAGAAGATCAAGGTAGTCAGGTGGGGATGGAGATTTGACCATTGGATTTAGTAACACAGGGGTTATTGGTGACCTTGCCAAGCAGTTTTGGTGGACGGTGGGATGAAGATGTGATTGCAGTGGGTTTGTGAGAAAGCGGGTGGAAGGGAGAGACGGCTCTTTCCAGAGGTTTCCCTGTAAGGCTTTGCTAATAATTTTAGCTTCTAGAACTCTTACAACTCGGATCCCTTTCTTCATTCTCATGAGGACACTGGTGCTAGAGAGCAAATTAGGCACCACTGAGTGCCCGTCTCTGACTCAGGGGAAGTGCGAAATGGGAATCTTGGAGTGTGGGAAAATGCTGGATTCAGAGTCACAGACCTGGGTGTGAATCCCACCCAAGACTCACTAGCTCTGTGACACCTCCACTCTTTAAGCTTCATCTTTGTCTGCAAAATGGAGAGAATCACCACTTCTTTGCAGAACTCATACAGATTACGTGGACAGTGCATGTCGAAAAGCGGGTCTGGTGCCTGGCACACAGTAGGCGCTCAGTATGAGTCCGTAGCAGAAGGGGTTGGTCTTCAGTTGTCACGCATTTGGGGTTTGATTGCATTCGAAGGAGGCATGTACGTGTTTGCATGTCTAATTATTTTTAAGTGTGCTAATTGCCTCTTTAAATGAATTGTCATAACTGTGTTATTCCAATATTTTGATACAACATATGCTTACATTTCCAAAAGGCTTCTGGTGGATTGGGCCGGTTCCAGTGTGCTGAGGTTTTGGTTTTGAAGTGAAAGGAATGGACTTGTGCAGCCATTTAGTATCCACTGGACACGTGCTATGTGCCAGCACCTGTTCTGGGTGCTGGTGGGCAGAGCGGAAGGTGGGACATTGACAAACATGAACAATAGGTCACGTAGGGACTTAGGATCTGTCAGGAGGGATAGATTTGAAGACACGTGGGTGAGGTCTAAATCTAAAGCCTGGTGCACTCTCCCATTTCATGTGCTCATTCAGCACCTTCTAATTGAGCACCTACTGTGTGCCAGGCACACTGGTGACAAGACAGCCTTGGCCCCTGCCCCCATGGAGCCAGAGGTCTGGGGGACAGGAGGCAGCAGAGGGTAAGTCAGAATCAGACATAATTTCAGGAGGCAATGATACTATAGGGAGCACATACAACGGGCTGCGAGGGGGGATGAGAGGAGGGGGGTCTTATTGTAGGATGGGTAGGGGGCTGGGAGGGCTTCCTGGAACTCTTGTTTTCTGAGTTATACGATGCCAGTGGCTGAGTCCCATCTAAAGAAAATCAGCCCCAGCCCATCTCCATGATTAGGCTGAAGGCAGACCACCTCTTGGTGCACAGACCAGTGTTGTGAGGCGTTAGGAGCATTCACAGCGGGGAAAACAAGTGCATGGGCTGCTGTGTACTCACTCTGTGTCCTTGGAGAAGTTTCTTAATGTCTCTGAAACTCCAGGCAAACACAACAACAACAGCAATAACAACCAACACAGAGAGCTGGCTATGTTCCAGTGTCCTGAGCAATTTGCACGTACTGATTTATTTGCTCTTGATAGCAAGTCTGTGGTTTGTACTGTTATTACCCTCTTTTCACATATGAAGAAACAGGCACAGAGAGGTTAACTGACTTGCCCAAAGTCACACAGCTAGTGCACAGAGAAACCAGAATTCAAACCAGGCTCTCTGGCTCTTAACCGCTTGCGCCATGCTGCCTCCTGAACAACAGGGACGGTAACGCCCACCTCCAGGGCATCATGAGGGATAGGTGGGATGCTGACATGCGTGCTTATGGCATTCTGCCCTAGGAACTGGCTCATGCATCCATTCAACTAATTGGTTTTGACCTCTTACTTTGTGCCAGGTTCTGGAAAACAGGACATACAAGGACTGTCCTGGCAGAACTCACATTAAACATTAAACAAATAATTAGACAAGAAGTTAGTTAGCGACAAGGTCGATGAGTGCTTCCAAGGAGAAATGCAGGGCAACCTGGGGATGTACTATGGGATCTGACCTACTCGGGAGAGTATTAGAGAAGACATTTACACCAAACCTGCTGAGGCATGAGTAAGAATGAGCCAGATGAAGGGGGAACAAGGGGTGGGGCAGAGAATTCCAGTAGAGGGAATGCTCATCATTTCTTTCCAACGTTGTATTGGGACATCCTGGTCTGAGCAGCAATGAGGGGAAAAATGAACAAATCAGGATCAGAAAGGGAGGTTTCTAGTATGGCTCCTAGCTTGTGCTCCGAGGAGAAAGTTTGTACTGTTCAAGGTGAGAAAGACCAGGAGAGAACCCAGTTGGGCCGGGTATTGGGAGCACATAAGAGAAAGTCGTCCTGCTGTCCTGGAAAACCACAGGCCCGGAGTCAGGACACTTTAGCTCTATTTCCAACTCATATACTAACCTGGGGTGAGCCACTGTCCTTCCATGGTGGATGGTGGGATGAGTAGTTCTCCCATCTGTAAAATGGGTGGGCTGGGACAATGGATTCACGGCGGGCTGTCGTGGTCAGATCTGGTGGGAAAACAGAGCAGGTGAACGGGAGCTGGCCCCACCAGGAGGGCAGGTGTTGGTACTCAGACCTTCTAGCAGGAGGCTGCACCCATCTGGGGACGGGGCAGGAGCCTGACCAGGGGGCCATCTTGTTATCACCGTTGTTATTGGTGCTGTCGAGCATGTCCTGCACTTGTAAGTCACTGACCCTTGACAACGTGCCCTTTGAATGTTCTAGACCTACAACAGCCAGAACGAGAGCAACGAAGACTATGAGATCCCCCCGATAACACCTCCCAACCTCCCAGAGCCGTCCCTCCTGCACCTGGGGGACCACGAAGCTGGCTACCACTCGCTGTGCCACAGCCTCGCGCCCAACGGACTGCTCCCTGCCTACTCCTACCAGGCCATGGACCTCCCGGCCATCATGGTGTCCAACATGCTGGCCCAAGACAGCCACCTGCTGTCGGGCCAGCTGCCCACGGTGAGTTGCTGTTTCACCATAGTTCCCGCCAGTCCCAGCAGGGAAGCGGGTTGGCAGGGAAGCAGAATGTTCGTGCCTTGATGAGGACCCTGTGCTCGTGTGCAGGGTCTGGGCTCTGGGTTGCTTGCATGGGCATCTGCAGACTCTGGGGCTGGGCATGGAGGAAAGTGGATGTCTTCACACTGCTCACTTCTGGAACCCTGTTTAGCATTCTTTGTATTCTTTTTAATAGTATAAATTACCTGAATTTTTATTTTTAACAGTTTTATTGGGGTCTAATTCATATGCCTTATAATTCACCAATTTAAAGTGTACAATTCAGTCGCTTTTAGTATATCCAAGTTGTGAAACTGTCAATACAATCCACTTTATGTTTTTGTTTTTGTTTTTGTTTTAATCTGAGTGAGAAATAAAAGGAGAGAAAGGAGCGGGGAGGGAAGAAGCCAACTCAAGATCCACATTTTATAATGTTGGAGGTCTGGCTAAAGAGCTCAGTGGAAATTGATGCTCCATTTCTTGAGGAACAATTTTCTGTGGGCCCATCAATAATGCAGGGCCTGAGCTTCCTCTTCTCTCTCTAGGAGAACTGAAGATACCACAGCCGTATGGTTTTCATTCCACTTTGACAGAATGCTTATACCTGAGCTGCTTGGCAGCCAATTTCCTAACAAAAGCTTCCCCCACCCCTTTAGACTGTCCCAGTTGGGGATTTATGCAAACACGAGCCAGGGTAGGGCTGTGAGTGCAGAGGTGAGGATGGTTGTGGTTCGGGGCCACGGTGTCACAGGCCTTTGGTGATCGATGGCGACCATGTGGAGCCGTGTGCGGGCTCCGGCGTCCTACAGACTTGCCTTAGATCTCAGCTCCGCTGTCACACTTCAGTTCCCTGGTCTTGGAATCATCACAGTGCCCACCTCCTGGTTGCCGTAAAGTGTACCTGAGATAACGTAGGCAAAGTCTTAGCCAATGTCCGCCACTGAGTAAACCATTGGGGGATATTTGCTGTTAGTAGTAGTATCAATAAAAGTGAATTCCCCACTGTAACTGAATGGCAGTGTGTGCCTGTCAGTCGCATTTAGCTAAAGGAACAGGCTCTCAGGTACCTTTGTAGGGTCACCTGGTTATTATAGCTCTGATAATTACAAGAGATGTTATCTGTTTATCAAAGATGACCCCCTGATCGCTCCTCCTAGGAAATGCTTCTGTTGGGCTCGGTCCAAATAGCCACTTTGCAGTCATTCTCCAGATTTCTTTCAAACAAGCTCATGTTAAAGATGCTTCACAAGTTCAGATTGCTTTAATTCTTCCATTAGGCAGCGTTTTCAAGGGCCCATTGAGTTTTATATTCCCTTGTTAAGGAATGAAAGATAAGCCAAGTCTTTTACCCAGGGAAGGGCTACTGGACCAATTAGGAAACCAGGTAAGAACATGTCCGTCCATCGGGACTCCAGCAAAGAGAGACAAGCACCATGAAGACAAATCCTTAAATTTGTCAGAGCTGCAGGAAGCAGGTGTGTGTCTGTGTGTGGATGGATGTGCATTCTGTGTGGGTGATGCTGGAATGTGTGTCATCACCTGTTAGGAATCAAGCACCATGCAGAGGGCTTTACAAACATGTTCTCACATAAAGCTCCCCAAACCGAGTGAGGCAGATATTACTGTAATGAGGAGATGGAGGCTCAGACCAGTAGGTGACTGCATCAGTGTCCTATGGCTGCTCTAGCAAATAGTCACAAACTTGATGGCCTAAAACAACCAGAAACAGACTTTCTCATAGCTCTGGAGGCTAGAAGTTGAACTCGGTATCACTGGGCCCAGATCAGGCTGTCAGAAGGGTGAGCTGCTTTTGGAAGCTCTGGGGCAACCTGTTCCTTGCTGCTTCTAGCTTCTAGTGGTGGCCCATATTCTTGGCTTGTGGCCGCATCCGTCTAACCTGTCTTCACGTCACTGTCACCTTCTCTTGTCATTGAAATCTCCCCCTGCCTTTCTTAGAAGGATGCTTGTGATGGCATTAGGAATAATTTAGGAGAATCTCCTTAGCTCTGGAGCCTTCACTTAATCACACCCACAAAGACTGTTGGGTTTCCCCCTCAAATACAGTAACATTTACAGGTTCCAGGAATTAGGACCTGATGTGCTTAGGGGACCATTTTTCAACCTACCAGTGATCAGCTGTGCAGCAGCCTTTATTGACCCCCTACTGGGGACCAGGCATTGTTCTGAGCCCGGGTCTATGAGATGCATTTGAACTCCTCCTGCAGGTGGAGAGATGAGTGAAAACTCCATTTCTGAAAATGTAGTAAATGCTCTGATGAGATCAGTATATGGTGCTATGTGTACCCAGAAGGGGCACCTTTAGGAAGTGATGTCCTGACACATAGTAGGCTCTATGAATAAATGAATAAATGAATGAATGTCACACAACTATTAAGTAAAAAAACCAAAAATACAAAAACCAACAGAATTCAAGTCCAGCTCTGTCCCCTACCATGCACCTCTCAGTTTTACCAGGTGTTTGAGGGCTGGAGCAGCTGGGCTGGGGGCCACAGGTGGCACCGAGGTGCCCTGATGGGCAGGATGCCACAGACACTGTTTGCACAGACTGCAATGCATATTGTCCCTGGAGACGTGGGTGAGGCTAAGGCATCTGACATCCATCTCATGAATGCAGAGTCCCTGTGGCTCTGACCCAGAGGCTGCCCTGGCCCTTGCGGCCTCCTGACCTGCATGGGAGTCGGTCCTTCGGCTCGAAAGCTATGGCTGCGGGCGGGAATCCTGTACAGTGGTGGAACAGGGCCCCTTTACAGAATTAAATCTGCTGAAGGCTTCTCCCTCGACTTCTGTGTCTTAACTGATTAAACATTCATTTCCAAGACAAAAAGAGTCAATTTAGTATGAAAGATATATTTTGCCGGTTTAATTTAAAGCGCTGCACCTCCATCTGACCCCTATTTTCATAACTCAATAATTTTATCCTGTGTTGATTGTCTCATTTTGAGAGAGATATTGTATGTATAAATCAGCTTCTAAAATACCCAAAGAAACCAGAAGAGTGGAATTTATTAAGGGGCCTCTAGTAAGTCTGAAATAATTTATTTTGGAGTCGTCCTTGGGAAATGTTCAAGCTTATAGTCCTGGTTTACCCGGGAGAGGAATTATCCTGGGGAGGGACAAAGCGTGATGCTCCCAGCCAAGTTCCCCGGGGACCTTGCACCCCTGGCAGGACCAGAGGAACCCCGGAGAGCCTGGGGCAGGTGGAGACGGGGCCTGACGGGAAATGAATGCTGGCACAGCTCTCCCTGTACGGGTTTCCCAAGGGCGGAGCCCTCGGGTCACTGGAGCTGTGTGGTCCCATCTCCGGCCTCGATTAATACTGGGGACGGTCACAGCTGTCATTCAAACCTTCTCCTCCAGCTTTGTCTGCTTCCTCTGAGATCTTGGACAAGTCACTTCTCTCCCAGCCCGAGTTTTGCCATCTAGGGAGTGGGAATTGGGATTCCAACTCTGGCAAACTCACACCTAGAAAAATGGCAATAGTGGCTTTGTCAGCTCTGACATGCTGGACAAGTGTATGGGTGTGAGGTCAGATAAACCTTCCACTGGCAGGATCGCACGTGCCTCTGACCTGGAGTTTACATCTTATTAACTTGGGTCAAAACCCTGCGTGCTAGAGGAGTTATCCTGGGAAGGGACAAAGCTTGCTGCTCCCAGACAAGTTCCCTGGGGACCTTACACCTTTGGCAGATCCTCTGTGCTCTGGGTCCCTGTCCCAAAGCATCTTACCAGGACTGGTCCTTGGGAGAGGGCAGGGGCTGTGGCCCAGGAACCCCCATGCCAAGCAAGGGGTCTCTCCAGGCTGGTCTCCTGGGGTAGACTGTGGGAGAGGGCTGGGTAGTACCTTAGTTGCCACTTCACCCCTTGCTTTAGAGATGGTTCCCATGGGCGAGCCTGGGTTAGGGATTGGCGCCTGGGGTCAGGGCTCAGGGCTCAGGGCTCAGGGCCACAGCCTGTGTTTGACTGTGGGAGCTCCTTTAAATTCCCCCTAAAACCTACCCTCTTCTCTTCCTGTGCTCTACTTTTCCCCTCCAGTCTCTCTCTCCTCCTCTTCCCCCCTCTTCTTCCTCATCCCTCTTCCCCCCAGGAGACTTGTTCTACCTCTGATTCTCACAGGTTGAGATGTAGGAGGATCCCCTCCCAAGTCTGAGGAAAAGAGACCAAAGACCCTCAGCACTTGGTGGTAGTTGAGACCCCCCGCCCAATCAAACCTAGTCATTTTATTGCCCTTAATGCATAATTTTTTGTTTTGTTTTGTTTTGTCTTAGGATTGTATCAGTTTTTGCTGTGTAACAAAACCACCTCAACACTTAGTGGCTTAAAGCAAACCATGAACTTTGACTATTTCTTGTGATTCTGTGGGTCAGCAAGGTAGCTCTTTTGTTTTGTTATGTTTTGTTTTGTTAGTCCTCACCCTAGGATATTTTTCCCCATTTATTTATTTATTTTTAAAGTGGCAGGGAGGGAACTAGACAGAGAGAGAGAAACATTGATGTGAGAGAGACAGCATTGGTTGCCTCCTACGTGCACCCCACCCAGGGTCAGGGATTGAGCCTGCAACCGAGGTATGTGCCCTTGACAGGAATAGAATCCGGGACCCTTCAGTCCGAGGTCCAGTGCTCCATCCACTGAGCCAGACCGGCTAGGGCAAGGTAGTTCTTTTGAACTGGACTGGCTTGGCTGATTTCTGGAGTCAGCTTACAGCTCGGCTGGGACTGCAGGGTCTAGGATGGCCTTGTTCACATCTCGGCAATTGGCCCAATGTCAGCTGGGGCCAATGGGGGTGACTTGGCTGCAGGTCTGTCGTCCCGTCGTGGCCTGGGCTCGTTCACATGGCTGTGATCACAGGGTTTCCGAGAGCATCAAGAAAGGGTAGGCCCCAATATGCAAGCACTTTTCAAATCTTCACTTACTATTGTCCCATTAGCCAAGTCACATGTCTAGCC